TCAGCCAAAATCTATATTTATAACTTAGTGGTCAAAATTTTCAAATTTTGGGGTATTTCATAAATTCGCCGCAATGATATAATTCATGATAATCATTTCCTTTTTTTCTATGATGCAGAAATAGCACATTATATCATAGGTAGATTCACGCGTCCAATGCTATGATCACACACGAAATCTTCAATGACGGAAAGAGATATTCCAAAAATTCACGCAGATGCAAAAGAAGATATACTCTATATACAAGAAGAAATTAAAAATGCCGCATTAAAAACCGTAGAAAAACATTTTGGGAGTGGTGCTGATCCTCAGTTAGGTCAAACAGTCGCAACTCTCGTTAAAAAGGCATGTGTATAGAACAAAAAAACGAATAAACAAGCCATAGCTTGAATTTTTTTTTTCTTTAAAAAAAAAAGATTGATATGATAATTATCTTTTATTCACTAGTGGGTCAACGATACTTTTGAATTGGCGGCTCCAAATTTAGAAGTGAACGGATTTGATTATGATAAAGCTCTTAAGGAAAAGGACGGTATTTAATGAGTTTTCATTTTTCATTAATGATATACAAGATGTCGCGTAATTTTTTACTAAAAATATTGAATTTATAGACACGGAACCACTTGATGAAAACTTAAGACATAAAGTACAAACACTTCAGGCAGAGATCGAAGAGATGACTCTACTTATCGCGCAAAATCGTAAAACATTACCTGACCAGGCAGAGATTTTAATTCGAGATCTGATAAAGAGGCAGTCAATGCTGGTAGATGATGTAGAACTCGTTAATGGCAAAGAGGAAATGGAAGAAGATATAGAATCATTGGATGGTAAAAAAGTTTTTTTGTCAATGTGTTTTTTTTTTAAAGAAAAAAACTTTTTACATTTTTTTCTTTTAATTTAGATATGTCAAGTATACGATTTGTAGAACAGATACATCGGAAATATGACCGAAATCTTTCAGTTTTATCAGATTTAAAAAAGGTACCAAACCATAACATTTATGAAGATCAATTAAATTTACTTACTTACTTTTTTCACGTGACAGTCAATTTCTGGCAATTTGTCAAATCTGGAACGTGCTCAAACGACAATAACTGATATAAACAGAGCCAGTGATTTTCTGCGGCAATAATAGGTCAATTCCGTCCCAAATCAAATTAATAAATTCTGTACGATTTCCGTAGTATTTTATCAATTCTGCATGATACGTACTTTTTTTTACTATTAAAGCATAAAAAATCTTTTATTAATGGTTTGGATTTACACTTTTGTACTAGTTCTAGTACGTTTTAAAAAAAGTATAAAAAATCTAAAAAATTAAAAAGCCAAATTTTTTTTATATACAAAAATCTGATAAATATTTAAAAATTGTTTAATTTTTTTTTTATATTATTAATAATAAGGGTTTAATTAGTGATGCAAATGGCTTGGCTCGGCTCAGCTCACGGCTAATATTTACTACGCCAAGCTGATCCTTTGGCTAAGCAACCAGAGCCAAGCCACTTATAAGCTGATTAATCTCAAGCTGTCTAATAGTAATATGGTTTCACAAAAATCTTGCTTTTCTATCTTTTCTATGCAAGAATTTTTTTTTTTTACAAATTTCTTGTTA